TTTGGTATGTTTGCATTTATATGTGTGTGCATATAATATACACTCAAACACATATATACCTAAAAAAACTCCGGAAGCACATTTCCCAACAATAATTTTCTATGGATAAAGTATTGGCAGGGGACGATATTTCTCTTTGTGCTTTTTTTCTAATTGTTTATTAATGGGTATTTTTTTTTCTTATATGATCGAAAGTCAATAAAATTACAAAAATAGGCAATTGGTGGCAATTTCTAATGGAGTGGGGTAGCTATCATGCTGGGGAAGGCAGTGCCTGACCGGAATTGAGTCTAATGGGTCAGCTAATATGAGAGAAGCAAATAGTGTAGGCCCAGGCGAACAAGGGATCAAGTATGATAATATCAGCAAAATAAGAAATGAGGAAACAATCACAAAATACAATAGACCTAGGCAAAGGGGCTGAGAAGTTGAGAATCTGGAGATATGCAAGGGGTCTGGGTGACAATTAGGATATAGCTTGATCTTTAGTCATTACTTTCATAAAAGATCTCTTATATACTTTGAACCCAGAAATGCACTCCGTGTGAATTGGTCTGAGCATGAAAGGGTAGACAAAGAGTAGGTTATATTAATTAAGACCTCTTTGGTTACAAGTAACGGAAACCAATTCAAGCTAGCTTAATCAAAAAGCATAAGGTAGAGTATAGGGGAAGAATTATAAGAAAGTACAAGATTATTCATGGAAACAGAGGGAGAGGGAATTCAGCCAGGCTTCAGGAAAGGACTGAAACTAGGGAATGGAAACCTGCCCATTTATCCATCTTCAGTCTCTGCTTTTCTCTCTCTGCAGAAAAGTTTTCACATCCCTTAGCTCACAGATTTGCACCTTACAGCAGTTTCACTTACAAGACTGACTCCCTATTTCTCATTCCCAATTCTAAATTATAGGGAAAGATAATCTGATCGGCAACCATGCCAGTGGGTAGAGCTTACCTAGTTACAGACACAACTATTAGAAGCCTTACCCTGTGGATCTAGAGGCAGTCCCCAGAGAAGGGCAAAAATTGTTACTGGGTCAGACCTCCCAAAAGTATATAGGTATACATGGAAATATTAAAAAGTAGGAAAGTAGCGAGCAAAGCCAATCTTAACAAATGATTTCACAGCATACCCAAACATTATTAAGTTGATTTTTTGTTCTTACAATTTATTTCCTTATGGCTGCCCTTTCTCTGTTTTATATATCCTTTGTCTGACTGGCTCAATACTCTCACATAGTGTTACCTATAGTAAGTGATTACAGGGTAAAGTGAGAATAAACAAAGAATAAGAAGATCACACCTTTGCTAAATCATCTTGGACATCAATCCAAGTTTGGATTAAGGAGAAACTGTTTAATGTGCCATAACAGTTTGCAGAATTATCATAGTGAAGGATATAACATCTGAATATAATTCTAGGACTGGAACTTAAATTGTTCTGTTCTTAAGC